GCACTCTACCCAGGGCAACATAGTGAGTCTGTATCAAAAAAAAAAAGAAAAGAAAAGAAAAGAAAAGAAAAGAAAAGAAAAGAAAAGAAAGAACAGAGGCACTTTGAGTGTCCATCCCTAGCACAGGTCTAGGGAGATCATTTAACTGAGGTTATGATTGCAGTAGCCTCCTAACTGGCCTCTTCCCTTCTGCCTTGTGTACCCCAACCCCTGTGCTCTGTTCTTAGTATAGTAACAAGGGATCCCCTTTAGTCAAATCATGCCATGTCTGCTTAGAACTCTCTGGTGGTTCCCCTTCTTACTGGAAGGAAAATCCAAAGTTCTTACACTGACCCACAGTGCCCATTGATTGCTGGCTGCCTCTCTGGCCTCGGGTCCCAGGTTGCTCCTCCTCCTTCTCCTGCTCCAGCCACACTAGCCTCCTTGCTCTTGGCCTTCACTCTTCCCATTCTTTCTGCTTGATCACTCTTCCCCAGGTAACTGCAAGGCTCACTCTCCCAAGTTTTACTCAAATGTCACCTTCTCAAAGAGGCTTTTCATGACATTCTACTTAAGCTCCTACTTCTTACTCTAGTCCCTGGACTTTTTTCCTCCATAGTACTCATTATCACTGAACATACTATACTATTTTTACTTATTTCTCATGTTCACCAATTTTCCCCCTTCCTAAAATGCAAGGTCCATAGACTCAGGGCTTTATATCTGTATCCTTAGTTTCTAGAACAATGCCTACCACACAGTCATGTTCATTAAGTATATGTGGATTGAGAGGGAGGAAGATGGCTTGGGTGGCCTTAGAGTTCACTAGATGAGGGTGACCAACCATCCAAGTTTCCCCAGGACCGAGAGAGTTCCTAAACATGGGACTTTCAGTACAAAGACCAGGAAAGCGTCAATTGGTCCCCTCCAATAGACCAGCCAATTTTATCTACTTCTGCGATATGGGATGAGACTGATGTTCCCAGGAATGCAACCCCACTAGATCCTCATTTCGGCATAGTCTCCCACAAAGTCTGTCCTGACAACCCTACAGATGAGATGCAGGCATGCGGGCAGCCAGATAGTCAATTTGGGTGGTTTGTCGCCAGGAGAGTGGCCATACCAGACCTGTTGTTCAGTGGACCAGTGTCAGGCTGGTGGGAAGGCTACAGTGGCTGACTCCTGGCCTGGGTCTGCTCTACAACCTACCCGAGCTGTGGATGAAGACAGAAGGCAGGGTGGAATTTGACACTGGCATGTCCTAGGGAAGGAAAACTAATATGTTTAACAAATGGATTAAGTTTTGAAATCATCTCCATAGGTAGAAATGATAGGCCCTATGTAACAGTTTAAATTTAGAAATAGGTATTTTCTTTTCAGATTTAAAAAGGAAAAAAAGCAATCTGAAATGTACAGAAGAGACCAGGCTTAATAGCTGTTTTGAACCGAATTATGTTTAGTTTGCCACATGCTCAGTCTGGTGTGAAAGCTACGAATTCAGATGCCATGTTAGTCTGTGCTGGTTGACATGTGGAGCCAGGACGAGGCCAGGGGATGACCCCACTGTCTTTCTCCTGCCTTGGAACACACCTGAGCCATGAGTCCAGCTCTGTACCAAGGGAGAGGCCGCTTGGCCTAGGTCACTCAACTTCAAGCTGTTCCTGGACACAGCAACCCACAAAGTGCCTTTTCCTCCCTCTCCCCAACAGGCTGTGTCCCTCAGCTCATCTGTCTTTGCAGGAGCAAAGATGTCACGAGCCACCTTCCTTCACCAACACCACCTGCCTTCTCTGGTATAACCAAATGGTTCAAGACCTGGGAATTCAGTCAAGAGACAGATTAATTCCTTATGACCTTTGCCCCCCAAAAGAACTCAAGCAGCTGAGAGCCCCACAGCAGCTAAGAGGCAGCAGCACCTCGAGAACCAGGCACAGAGCCCGAGAGCCAGAGCTGTGTCATCCTCAGGGCTGCGTGGTTTCTCCCTTTCCCCCGGGGCTCACAGCAAATGGTCCCATGGGGTTGGGAACCCTCCCTCTTTCCACTTTCCAACTGCAGGCACATTTATAAAGTCTTTTGAGCTTGAGGGATCTGAAGCCCTGGGTCCTCTATACCTGTTGGTGGTCACTTTTTTGGTTGCTGTTGGCCGAGCACAGGCTCTTTGGGAAGTTCTGCGGTGGCAGTGGGGGTGGTGATGGGAGAGCGTGACAGGGCTCTCTCTGCAGGCTCTTCAGGACTCTGGGTACTTATGTAAGGGAACAGCACTTTGCTTCCCCATGTCATGTGTACCAGCCAGGGAAGGAGCAACCGCAGATCTTCCGAGAGGACGGGTGAGGTGTTGATTTCTAATTCCAGATTTCCAGGAGCAGCACAGGGTTCTCCCCACCACACAGCAGGCCACTGGCAGGGCTGCCTAGAGTGTGTCTCTGATGACCCCAAAGCTCATCAGGGACGAGCCCTGTGAGGTGTCTGGGAATGTCTAGCTGGGTGCCACAGGGGAATAGAAGTCAGTATGTAGATGTAGAAAGGGTCTCTCCCCTCCCCTCCCTCGGAAGAACACACCCCAGAAGAAGCCCTTGTGTGGGACGCTGCTGACCTCAGAGCAGTCGGTCATTGATGTGGGGGCCGAGCAACCCCCCAGAAGAGTGGTGAGCAGCAGAGGGACTGTCCGGGGTCCTATCCTAACCTTCTTCTGGGGCCACATCCTACACTGTGGTCTGAAAGCTGAGGCCTGGAGCGGAAGGAGAGATCCCAGCTAGCGCAGGCCTAGCCCAGGGCTTCCCAAATGGTTTCCCGAGGCTGTGAACATCAGCATCCCCTGAAAACTTGGTAGAGATGCCCCGCCCAACTCTAGTAGATCAGAAACTCTAGGGTGGGCCCAGCCAGCTGTGTTTAATAAGCCCTCCAGGAGATTCCATGCAGAATCTCCTCAAGGGGAAGGAGGCTTTGATGATGGTTGTCTGCTGAGGGTCCTCAGAGAGCCCTGCTCTCGTCTCCCTTCCAGAGGGCAGCGCCCTCTGTCTGTGGGCCAGTGTTCACTTTCTAGGTCTGGGGGACCTGAGGAGCTGTCACCGGTAGGGCTTCCACCTGTGTATACATTTGCCATGTCAATGGCTGCTAAGATCTCCTTCCAAGGAGTCTGCCAAATGTGTTCTGTAACAGGGCACCCTCAGGCTCATGTACTGCTTTCTGTCAGTCTCGGGAAACCCAGCCCTTTCCCCTATCTCAGAAACATGGCACTATTGCCTGGTGGCCTCTGGCTCTGATGCCACCCTCAGTTGGTCCACAGCAGCTCCTCTGCCCTCAGCCCTGATGGCTTCCTAACAGATGTTCCTCTTCAAGTTAGGTATGAAGAAGGCATTGCTTTAAAAAGGAAAAAAAGGCTCAGTGCGCATAGCACAGTGGTTACGGCACCAGCCACATGCACGGAGGCTGGCGGGTTCGAGCCTGGCCTGGGCCAGCTAAATAACAATGACGACTTCAACAAAAAAATAGCTGGGCATTGTGGCAGGCGCCTATAGTCCCAGCTTCTTGGGAGGCTGAGGCAAGAGAATAGCTTAAGCCCAAGAGTTTGAGGTTGCTGTGAGCTGTGATGCCACAAGTATTCTACCGAAGGTGACATAGTAATATTCTGTCTCAAAAAAAAACCGGAAAAAAAACGGAAAAAAAACTGCAAGAGCAAACTTTGCTCACTGAAAATTATACTAAAACGAAATAGAAATAGCCATTGCAGCCATGCAGCCATTTCCTGATCCCATAGCTCTCTCCTCCCCAAATCCTCTGTCAGCCCCTCCAAATCCTCTGTCACACCCCTGGCCCCTCCTGTCCTAGCCAGCCAAAGTTCTCGCTGTCTTGATGATTTGCGATTCTCTGCATGACTCTGCCTCTTGGGTTTGTTTAATTAGAAATAGGCTGGGAATTGCTTCCTATGCTCTGGCATGTTAATTGCTTATCAGAGAAGGAGAAGGGGCGACAAGGCTTGGCATGGAAATTTCCTTTCTCCCTCCATCTCTGGGTCTGTCTCCATTGTTCTCACCCACCCCTCTCTTTGTCTCCTGCGCTCTGCCTCCCTCCCTCCCTTGCTCTGGTCAGCCTCAGCCTCTCCTGCTTTTCCTCCCTCTCTCCCCAGCTCTCTTACTCACAGCTATGGGGACTAGAGACTCGGAGCAGGCTCAAGGGCTGGAATTCAAGCCAGAAAGGAAACAGTGTCCCTCTCTCACCATGTCCCTCTTCTCCCTCTGACAGTATCCCAGCCACATGCCCACCACCCTCCAGGCTTGGAGGGATACCAGAGCACAGAGACCTCTTTGGTTATACTCGGTATTCAAAGCATTATTTTCCTTTCATTTCCTTTCCCCTGTATTATTGTTGTTATTATTTATTTTTATTTTTTACAAAACAGGAGAAAAGAATGAATTGGGTTGGGGGAGGTGACACATTTCTCCACAAAGGTACAAAATTGCCTATAGAAAGTCAGCTTCAGAGTGCCGAGCCGGGCTGCCAAGATGAGGTGTTCTGGGCATCCCCTCCCCAAATGTCCTTCAGATCTGGTTGGGAGTCACTCCCACTTTGAGGGTGATCCTCAAGATAGAAAGGAAAGGCCTCCTTCAGCCCTTGCCCAGTAGGAGAAGGAGCAGGCCACTGAGACTATACAAAGAAAAAGAAGAAGCAGGGCTGCATCTTGTAGGCCAGGGCCTGGGACACAGGCAGGGGACAGCCAAGGGAGGCCCAGGAGCCTGTGGGCAGGTAGATGATGAGGGGTGGGAGGCTCTCACCAGAGTCCTTCCTGTTCCTTGTTGATCCTCAGAGTGGTAGCAGAAGCACCCCCAGAAGGTAAGGGCAATGTTTTGGAGGCCACAGGAGCACCCCTGGGGGCCACAAAGCCTCAGCTATCTTGGTCCAGCTGCCAGGCCACAAGCGCGTCACCCATGTCACTTTCCTGGCAAGGCATCTGGCCCAGATTGCTTCCCTTTTGGTAAAAAGTAGTCCTAGTTATTTCTCTACTGCTGAGAACTGGCTGAGCTTCAGGAATTTTGAGACAATGGTGGTGACAGTGCCTCTCCTTCTAAGCATCTGGATAGCTTCCTCCCTGGATTCCAGGGCAGGACAAGGGGTGCAGATACCACCCGGACAGAAGGGGCACTCCATCCCCAGAAAGCCCAGGCTGGAAGGAGTGGCCGTCTGCCCACCCCTTGCCTAGGCTGGCCTGTACCAAGGTGGGCCGCTAGACCAGCTGCCAGCAGGAGGACAGCAAGAGCCAGGACGGCGATGAGCCCAGGCTGGTCCCCTAAGGCTCTGTGGCAAGCAGTGGCCTCTTTAGTTCTGGCCCATACACAAGCCAACTGGGTATGGGCATCAGCAAAGGCCACTTGCAGGCAGGCCCAGTACTCCGTGGCCTGAAGGAGGCGGGTGATGTTGTAGCTATGGGTGCCTCGGGGCAGACGGGCCAGAGCAGTGGCCCCATGGCCCTGGAGGGAGGAAGCGCTCGACCAGGTGAGGTTGGTGGAAACTGTGTTGGGTGGTGGCAACCAGGACAGTAGGATATGATAGGGATGGGTCTCCTGCACCCGGAGCTCCAGCCCCCGTCCCTCATCCCTGCCCGGCTGGAGGAGGGCACGGCCAACAACCACACTGACTGTCTTAGTGTCAGCCCCTACCAGGTTCTGGGCCACACAGGTATACAGTCCTGCTTCTTCTGCTGTCACCCTCCGCAGCTCCAGGGTCCCCTCAGGGTACACCCTGTACCTCCTGCCCACATGGGCAGGTGTTAGTCGAAGCCCGGCTGGAGTGACCCAGTAGATCTCGGGTTCTGGCTCGGCCAGCGCCCGGCAATGCAGTGTCATGCTCTCTCCACTGGCCACCTGGAGGCTGGGAGGGAAGCTGCGGGGGGAGATGAGGGGCAGGCAGTGGTCTGTCATCTCCCGGAAGGGCACCTCACGGACTGGGCGGCGCTGTAGGTCTGGTGGCTCTGCACACAGGGTGGATTGTGGCTCAATGAAGCGGACACGGGTGCCTGTGGCATTGGCCCAGCGGATGACACAATCGCAGCGGATGGGGTTGCCGTGGAGACCCACCTCCTGCAGGTTGGGCAGGGACTCCACGGTCTGCTGGTGCAAGGCACTGAGAGCATTATTGTTGAGCATAAGGGTCTCCATCTGGGGCAGGTGGTGGAAGGCGCGGGGGTGGATGAAGGACAGCCGCGGATTGTTAGTGATGTCCAGCTTGGTCAGCTCAGGGAGATTAACCAGGGCAAACTTGTCAATGGAGACCAGCTCCTCCATGTTGTTCAGTCCCAGCTCCTTGAGGTGTAGCATGTTGGCGAAGTCCCCCGGTCCTACCCGTTGCAGTGGGTTCTTATTCAGGTCTAGGAACTTAAGCCCGGGCACCTGCTCCAATGCCCGCTTGGGAACCCGGGCCAGCTGGTTGTCATAGAAAGAGAGGCTCTCTAGGCTCTGCAGCCCCTCCAGGGCATAGTCAGAGATCTCCCGCAGGTGCATGCCTGCTAGCACCAGGCTGCGCAGGTTGGCCAGGGGTCGGAAGTTCATGTCCAGGATGGCGTCCACCTTGTTGCCACCAATCATGAGGATCTCTAGGCTGGGCAGCATCTCGAACCAGCGGCTGTCAATGGCCCTCAGCAGGTTGGAGTTGAGGTGCAGCCGCAGCAGGTTACCCAGGCCTGCGAAGGCCCTGGGGGCAATGCGGTAGAGCTGGTTGTGGTTGAGATAGAGCTCCTGTAGGCTGGCCAGCCCGGCGAAGCTGTGGTCCTCCAGCCGGGTCAGCTGGTTCTCCTCCAGATGCAGGCTCAGCAGCTGGGGCAGGGCGTGGAAATCACAGTCTTGGGCGTCTGAAAAGCTATTCTGGGACAGGTCCAGCTCTGTGAGGTTGGTCAGGTAGTTGAGCTCACTCTGGTCCACACGGACGATGCTATTGCTCTGCAGTAGCAGGGTCTGCGTGCCTGCAGGGAGTGCTGGGGGCACCGCAGTCAGGAACAGGTCATTGCAGTCCACGGTGGTGGCCTCGCGGTAGGACGAGCGGGGTGTATACCAGGGCCGGATCTGGCAGGCACATTGAGCGGGGCAGGGTACACGCCAGGGTACCACAGGCACAGCAGCAGTGGCACCAGCCACCCAAGCTAGCAAAAGGGGGACCACCAGGAGCCTCATGGTAGAGCAGCAGGGCAGGGGACCATCCACAAGAAGAATCCAGAGTCCTGCTCTTCGTGATTTGCAGGCTGAGGGTCAGCAGCCCTGCCAGGGCCGGGGGAACCACCCTCCCAGAGCAGTCATTCTACGCAGGGATGGGGTAGCATCCCTTCTTGCTCTCTGGAGTGTGGCTCCTCATCTTTGTCCTCTGGGGCTGGGCCTGCTCACTCACTGCCATGTCCGTCAGGGGCAGCCCTGGAAGAAGAGGAGGCAGAGTAAGGAGGTGGCCAAGAAGCAGTACGTACCCCTTCTTCCCTCCTCCCTTCCTCAGTGAGCCAAAGAAGCTGCAGAGGGCATGGCCGGGGCCAGAACCAGGGCTCCTGGTTCTATCCTACAGTCCTTAAGGCTTCTATGACCTGCTAAGTGACTGTGAGTCTTCAGGGAAGAAGGAGGGGTGTGTGTGCCTGTACACGTGCATGTGTGTGTGTGTGTTTGGGACTTCAGAGTCCTGAGCCCAGAGATAAATGCAGTGGTTTCTCTAACCTTACATATCTCTTCTCTCCCTCCTTGGCTCACTTGGGTAAATGAAAGATAAAAGGACAGTTTCCAGAAATTCCTCTGGCAGTGTAGGCAGGCAACGGGTAGAGGGTGTTGGAAAGAAGTGCAGTTCTAAAATCTGGGATGGGCTCCCCAGGACTCTCAATGTTGGCAGACAGTGGGCCCTGACCCCACATCTGTATCCAGGCAGGTTGTCCTGGGTTGGGGTACTGCTTTGCTTTTTGTCAATTTCCTCACCCTGGGGGCAGGGACTCTCCCCTTCCCCACAGTCTGGTAGAGCTGCCCAGGAGGAAGTAGTGGGGCTAAAAAGCCTGGCTCTGAGCTCCTTAGCCCTGCAGATAAGACCTTGACCTGGCCTGCCCCCTTCACCTGGCTTTTCTTGCTGCCACCCCACTTACCCACTGTATACAAACATCTCAGGTTGAAGTTACCCTAGCATGTCACCCTTTCTTATGTCTCCTCCCCATTGTCTCCCAGCCACATCCTACTTGTTCTTCAAGACTCAAGTTTAGGCTCGGTGCCTGTGGCTCAAGCAGCTAAGGCGCCAGCCACATACACCTAAGGTGGTGGGTTCGAATCCCCAGCCCGGACCCGCCAAACAACAATGATAGCTGCAACCAAAAAATGGCCAGGCGTTGTAGCAGGTGCCTGTGGTCCCAGCTACTTGGGAGGCTGAGGCAGGAGACTCGCTTGAGCCCAGGAGTTAGAGGTTGCTGTGAATGTGATGCCATGGCACTCTACCCAGGGCGTTAGCTTGAGGCTCTGTCTCAAAAAAAAAAAAGACTCTAGTCACCTACAGAAGACTTCTTCAAAACCTCTCTACCCCTGGCTGGCCAAGGGGCTGGCTTTATGCCCTTATAGTACCCATGCTTCCTTTTGTCATGGTCCTAACCACATCACGTGGAAAGGTTTCTTCAGCTAGAGGCCTGTCTTGCTCATTATTGTACCTGAGCACGGAATGGGTACCCAGTGAGTGTTTATTGTATAAATCAATCTCTTTGCTCCAGGGCCCCTTTTCTCAGCAGATCAGAGCCCTTACAATCTCAAATCCAAGCCACTGCTATTTCCTCTGTCTTGGGTATGGGTAACCACCTAGGTTCTCTTTCACATCCCAGGGTCAGGCTGCACTGACCGGGAGGCGAGTCCAGCCTCAGCCTAGAAGCAAAGATGGAAACAAAAAGTGGCCAGACTCTGCGTTCCTGTCTTAGACCTCGTCTGACCTTCTGAGTGGGGACCTGACTTCAGGTAGATTTTCAGCTGCAGGTGTCAGGGAAGTGTGCAAACACTTACTGAGCATCTACCATTGTCCAGGATTCTTCAAAGACTCTGAATGTCTTCATTTAACCTTCTAACATGTCTATGAGATAAGTATTAATTAACCCCAATTTACAGAAGAAGAAATCAAAGTCCAGAAGAGGTTAAAGAACTTGGCTGAAATCGTATTGTTACAAGATACAAGAATCAACCCAAGTCTAGAAGTTGTGCTATCTACTCACATCTCTGCCCCCGAGGCTGTCCCGAGCTTGCTTTGGGTTCTTGGAGAGTCTGGGGTACAATGGCTGCAGCAGTAGCAGCAGGCTAGTGTCTGTTCTTGTTCCCAAGGGTGATAACTCTTAACCAAGCAGCTGCTGAAAGCTCAGAACATGTTTCCTACATGGCTCTGCCCACCTCATCCCACTTCTGGGATGCTGGGGCTGGGGAGGGGAGCAGCTGGAGGTAGGGTATCCTTCCTTGAGCAAAAGAGCAGTGTGCCTGTTTACATCTGACCACTTCCCACTTTCTCCTGCAGCTATTTCTGAAGGTGGGAAAAACAATCCTGACTTAAAAGACACAGAGGTTTTGCGTAGGGGTGTGTGCACTGATGCATAAAACTCGGGGTAAACAAACACACGTGCACACATGCATGCATGCCTGCACAAGTGTGCAAGGTGAACCTCAGGGAACCCAGCCACCTAAGTCCGCGATCAGAGGTCAGGAAGTAAGGAGTGAATTTTGTGTTCTATTGGGTAGAGAGGAAGCAGGAAATAAGCTGGGTGACTGAGAGGTCCTTGTCATGGAACTGGATCTAAAGCCAATGGTCTTGCCACACTTACATGCCAGAGATCCCTGACTCCTGCCTAGAGCTGGTGTGAGACAGCAGACCCATCAGCAAACAGATCAGGACACAAATCTCCCTGCTATCTCTCACCACCAGAGCACCCTGGGCAAAGTTACTTGAATTCTCCTAGCACCCATTTCCTTCTGTATGAAATGAAATTATCATTAGAATTAAATGAGTTGAATGCAGAAAGAGCTGGATAAGTGTTAGCTCCTCTTCCAGCTGGTCATCTCTCAGTGGGAGGAGGCTCTCTGGCTGTAGGACTTCCCATGGGACAGTAGAAGTAGGGCTCAACAAACCTACCTTTAGCTTACTCTGAGGGCCCACTGCTCCCCCCACCCAAGGTAGGGTGGGGAGCTGTGAGCAGACATAGATAATATGATCACACATCTAGCAAGTGCCACTCTGGTTGGGCAGGCAGGACCAAAAGGCTAACCCTCCCCACCCCTGCCTTGGCCTCCCAGGGTGCTAGGATTATAGGCATGAGCCACTATAACCAGAAAAATAAAAAGCTTCCAATTAGGAGAACCCAAAACAGTTCAGAAGTGGAAGGAGAGAAAGGAAGGGCTAGAGGTGGAGAGGATTCTAGCTAGACCCAGAATTTCCCCAATCTTTAGTCCCTACCTGAGCCCCATGTTTCCCTCTCCTCTGCCAACACCTTTGTTCTAAGTGCCTTGTCAGTGCTCGACTGTGCTGAGAGGATCAAGGAACCATTTAAAATTTAATTGAAAACCTGAAGGGACTTGCCCTTTCCTTCCTGCCTTGTTGCCTCCTCCAGCAGGGGTGGGTAGATGAGGCCAGGAGCCCAGGGCTGGGCCTCAGGATGCAGAGAGACGCAGTGGCTCAATGACTCATGTTTGTATCGTGCCTCTGACCTCCAGGATTGGCAAGAACCCAGACAAATCTTCCCCCTCACTGCTGAGCACACGGCCCCTTCCAGGATGGAGCTCAGAGCTGCCCACTCACCTGCCATCACCATTTAAGGCTGACTTGCACATGGCCCACTCATGCAGGCTGACTAGCAATTTCTACCAGGGAGCTGCAGAGAAAGCTAATTGTCTTTCATCTATAAGCTCCAGAGGTGATCAGGAGTTCAGACTATCACGTGTACATTTCCCCCAGCTGGATTTCAAGCTCCTTGCAGCAGGGACTTTGCCTTCCATGCTTTTTATGTCCCCAGAGCCCCAAGTGTAGGATTGAGAGTGTAGAGGGTACTTGCAAGTGGATATAAATAGTAAAATGTGTAGAGCACATGTACATTACATTTACACCCCACCCCACCCCCATTCCTCGTCAACACTGTGTGGAGGCAAGAAGGGATTGTTTAGTCTCATTTTTCCAGGGAGGAAACTGAGGGTCAGAAAGGTTAAGTGACCTGTCAGAGTGGCATAGCTTCTCCATGATGGTCCGGGGTTCAAACCCAACCCAGCCAGTATGGATCAATTCCTGCTTTACAGGAGCCAGAAGACAGGGCTGGCTCTGAGCAGTGGCCTCGGTTGTGAATCCCTTCAGAGATGAACTTGCGTTCTCAGCTCCTCTCTCCTGCCTGCATCTGCTGGGCCCCTCAGCACCTGTTTCTTGACTCCTGCCTAGAGAGACCCCTTTGGGGGACAGTGCAGGGGACACTGTTCCCCTGTGATTGTGGCTGGGTCTGGAACCACAGGGACAAGCAGAGCCAGCTGCTGCACACAGACCTCAGCCTGTCTTCTGATTGGGGGCTGGGGCCTGCTTTTTTTCAGGCAGTGCCTCCTGGCCAGCCAGCTGTGGGCTTTGAGGACAGGAGATAGAAAGTCCTGGAGCCATAGTCTAAGATGCAGGGTTAGCTGCCCACTCCAATGGCTGGCTTTGCAAACCTCATCTGACCCAGCTCTCCAGGCTGCTTCTCTGGATTTAGCTGAAAAGTGTGGCATTGATCTCCTATACCTCCTATGAAACTAAGACCTTTCATAAAGCTTTAAAAGCAGCAGTTCTCAACCTGGGGGTCATGACCCACAGGAACTGTATTAAAGGGCTGTGGCATTAGGAAGGTTGAGAACCACTGCTCTTAAGGAAGAGGTTTGGAGATGCTGTCATCAGGACCTGGAGCTGTTTTCACCCTCCTGTCTATCTCCAGTCCCACCCTCAGCACAGCCCCAGTGCTCCCTCCTGGACTAGGTGGGTACAGAGTCTCTCCCTCTCCTTCTTCCCCTTCTCTCCCTGGTGGCACCCTACTCAGCTCCCAGGAGCTGAGGGTCTGCGGGGAGATGGCAGGCAGTGATCGATTGCCTGGCCTTGGCTGCTTCGGTGCCAGGTCCCCCTGAGCTGCGGAGACAGATGGGCAGCATAATTGAGTGTAGCGTTGATAAACTTCGGCCTCCTCACCAGC